AAATACCAATCAAGCACGATGAAAGCCGGAACATATTGTGCTATTTGCGCCGATAGTGGGATCCCAGCTTTAGCCTCTTTATATTTCGATGGTCTTCTCCAATAGCGACACAATTCAAAATTGAAAAAAAAGCTGTTACTACTGTTAAGTGGCTCTTGTCTCGTACCCTTGTCTAATCCATTTCCAACCCTTACTTAAGTAAGCAATAACAGTTTTTTTTTTTGAATTTTGAATTGTGTCGTTATTGCAGAAGACCAACGATTTATTAAACAATTTTTTTTCCAATTGAAGAAAGAACGAAAAAATCAAAACTGTTCTGGTCTGTTGAAAACACCAATTGTGGTTCGAAAATTTTTACAATTTTTTCTATGAATATCGTTTACCATCTCAAACTTTGGCAAATTCAGTTAGCCATTCCAAGAGTACCGTGAGCAAAGACTAGAGAGTAATGGTGGAGATGGTATCCGATGAAATTTGAAGTGAACTTTTCGACTTGCAAAGCATTCAAAAAAAGTGTCCAATTTACTCTTTCTCTTAATATTAACAATACAACCGCTGCCCGTCAGCGTACGATTTATTTTGTGCTTTTGCTGTTCCTTTTTTTCGTTGTCTTGCTTAATTCCTAAACTAAACAAGTATTCTCTCTTATTTGTTATTCATCTTCCAGAATACTATCAGATCAGCGATGACGATCTTAACGATGATTCGGTACTTGAGATAGCTGAACGTACCAATGGCCAAAATTTAAGACTGGGTAGACGCGGCAGCTATGAACGTGCTTGGACTACGGAAGCTACACGTGCGCTAATACACATACGTGGTTCTATGCAGGCCAAGTTTTCTGAGGGTCGACAAAAACGGACTGAACTTTGGCTTCACATCACACGAGAACTCCAAAATTTAGGCTTTCACTACAGCGAAGCAAAAGTGCAAAAGAAATGGCACAATATAATTATTACCTACAGTAAAAACTTACCTAAGAAGATTTCAAGTGGATGTGTGCAATGGGAATTCTTCGAAGATATGCACAAGTACTTGAAGGACAAAAAAGTGGATATGAGCGATTTCCAATACCAATCGGCGTCTAATCACAAACCGCCGGTAGAGCAGCAGCAGCAGCAGCAAGAGCTGCCACAGCAGAAGCAGCAGCCGCAGTCGCAACGGCAACAGCACCAGCAGCCGCAACAGCAGCCGCAACCGCAGCCACAACCGCAGCCGCAGCCCTTGCCGATTAGTTTTCAACAATCACTAGAAGTCCATTGTAGTCAATTGCAGACGCCTTCCCTACAAACTGAAGTTACGCCCCAATATAGTGAAGGGAATCAATTGGCGCTATTGGCCAACACGGCCGCAATAGACTTGGATAAATTTAATGATGAGTTCGATGAGGATTCGACGGTTATGTCTGTGCTGAAGCAGCAAAAGTTGGAATTCAGCCCTGCTGAGCTGCCGCTGGAGATACAACACACGAATGGCTACGAACACGTTGGCAGCCGCGGAAAATGTGATAATGACGAGTTCCCGCCGATATGCAATGGGTCACAGGACGATGGGACTTGGTGGAAGGACTATTTTGAACGGAAGCTGGAGGTGGAGCGTGAGAAAATTCAGTGCCAAAAGGAACTGCACCGAGAGCAAATGCAATTCCATAAAATGTCGCTACTACAGCAGGAGAGTATTGAACGTCTGAAAATTGATGCGATCAATAGCTTGACGGCGACGCTTCAGAAACTGGTGGAGACGAAAAACCGAAAGGTGTAGAAAAGAAATTTTAATTTTATTCAAAGTAGTTATTGTTTAAGACAAAAAAGTTTAAGGTACAAATGTACAACTACTGGAGTCAGTGGCATAGCCAGGGGGAGATTAGGTGAAGATTTCCCCAACTTCAATGAACTAACATTTTTAATTTTTGATTTATAATTTTTTTATTTTAGACAAAATAATTTTCTATAAATTCTGAAAAAATGGATTATACTATACATTAATGAACTGAAATAAAAATTAATGTACTTTTTTTTTAAATCTACATATGTAAATGATTCATACCGCACGGATTACATGGCTGAACTAAAAATATATTACGGTAAAAATGGCCCATATATGAAAGAATACGCACAGGCGACGCCTCTGGCTGTTGTGTGTCTCACCTTTAAGTTATCGCAGAAAATTACACGGTGTTACAAAATAAAAAAATTTCACGAACTTTTTAAGTGACCAAGTACAGGTCGAAGAGCTGGCCGAGTAACTCACGAAACTCTTTTTAAAATCTTTCCAACACCCTCCAATCCTCAACTTATCCTTAAAGTAGTTTCTCCTACTCAACTTAACTTAGTTTAGCCAATTTTTGGACTTAGTCAAGATTAAGCTGATTAAAACGTAGGCCAATGTTGGGCTTAGCCTAGAATTTGAATATGAATAGGTCCAAAAAACCCAGCCTAAACAATTTTTATTTTTGCTGTTTAAAGAAATAAAAAGTTTTGTGAGCACATCGTAGATACCCAGCCAGCAGAGAAACGTACTTTTTGCCGAAAGTGCAGTTTTCGTAAATTTTTCGTTTCCTGAAATGTTCAGAAAACGATTTTCATATTTGTTCATTTTTCGTATCCGAAAAATGTCATCTTCTTATTTCAAAACAATAATTTTAAAATATTTGTTCAAACTGAGTATTTGAAAACATGTATACATATTCGCCAGTAGCTGAGTGTGCAGAGAAGTGTGCTACTATTGTTGTAGCTTTCAGGAGGTCCCCGGTTCGAATTCCGTCAGAAGCAACACATTAAAATTAGTTATTCAAATTGAAATAATTGCTGAATATTAAATTTGTTTTTTGTTTGGTTTCCTGTAACTATGAGAAAGTTTCTGTGAAGTTCATAATGAAATCGTTTTCAACGAAAAATTGAATCAGACAAATTTTAGGAAAACAGCTGAAAGCGCATCCGTTTTACAACCATTTTCGATAGTTTTCTGCACATACACTTTAGTGGGAGAATTGATCTGAAAAACGTCCGAAAACGGATTCGGAAAACGGATGATGTACATACATACATAAATACATATCGCTAGCTTAGAGTGAAAAGTTGCTAAGTCCACTTTTTATAAAAACTCATATTTTGATATAGGAGGCTAGAGAAATTGAATATGCATCGTTTCGAAAATTATAAAGGTACTTATTTTATTTTTTCCTCTTCATAAGCAATAAAAGAACAATTTGCTAAGCCCAAAAGAAACTCTACAAATCCGATAAGGCCAAAATAATACGACATCTTTTAATAAATATCGAATCCTTCTGATTCTTATGGAGTTTTGCTTTGCTTTAAACACGCAAAATGTTTGATTCAAAGTCTGGCGAAATAGTTAAAGAAAATGGCCATAAGAAGATTTTTTCCTCTCCTGTAAAATTTTTAAAATGGGACATAGCAACTTTTCTTTCTAAGCTTCTACAACATTTTTTGCCAAATTTCAAAAGAAAATAGTCTCCCCTAGTTACTTCGGAAAGAATGTTTAATTCCGAGTAAAACCATTCAATAAAATCAATAAAACAGTTATGAAGTTATGACATCTTTTATAGAGACAAATTCAAATTTTTCTATACAAACTATTGAAACCTCAAAGTGAATTCAATTCAACGGATTCAAATTTTTTGTGAAATTACATCGAAGTAATTTTGGAAGGAATCTTTGGAAAATTCATATCATTCATATCTATAAGTGGTATGTACGTACCTAGTTTTACTCGGAATTAAACATTAATTTCGAAGTAGTGACTAACAGGCAGTTTCACCAAATTATTTAAGTGAAAATTACTTTAATTTTCGAATTTTTGGTTTCACCAATCAATTTTTAATTTTGATTTAAGTGACCTATGCTCTTCATTTAAATAAAAATTAAATCAGAATAACCACACTCAGAGGTGTTACACGTTTAATCACCTGATCATTGTGTATCTGCTGCTTACTTTTATACCAGCCCTGCTTTTACAACACAGCGTGCCAAAGCTTTCAAAAGCTCTCAGTACAAATGAAAACTTTCAAACAAACTTCCCAGTTCTTGGATCTGATGTTTTAAAAAGAAATATTTTCCGTCTATCTAGCGAAATCAACTACAGTTGCGTTACTTTGACTACCCTTCTGCATCATTTGTATGCCCCTTCACATAGGAGGGAAGCCGCCCTATTGGATCGGCCATTTTTGTTTTTGTTATTTCGAATTCAGATTCGATTTCAGCGACCTCAAAGACCCCTGAATTTTTGTCAGTATGCTAACTTTTTAAATTATGGACACAAAAAGTGTCTCAAATATCACTGTGCGTCAGGACTTTTTTATGGGACTTTGAAATATCAAAGTAATGAATAACTCAATAAATTATTTTAACATTTTAGTGCAATGAAGAATAACAATATGGCTATCAAATAAAACATAAAATTCAGTAGAATTAAAAATGTTTAATATTGAAAATACCTTTTTAAAATTTTATCCTTGAACATCCTTGAAAATTTGTAATATTAATTTTTGAAAAAAGTACATGTTAAAGATTAATATATAATTACATGACCGCATCCTTAAATTCGTCCTTCTAATTTATTAGCTTAAAAAAATAAATATAAATACAAGACTTTTTTAAATGCATACATATCCATTTTTTAAATTCTGCATCGAAAAGTGTTATTCTACATTGCACTGAATTATTTAAATAAATTTTTGAATAACTCATTTCTTTGAAATTTGATAGTCCTTTAAAAAAAACTGGCGTCAGAGAGAAAAACTTAATCTTAAATTCATTCATACATACTCAGGAAGAATACTAGCTTTAGTCTCGCGCTTTACAGAACAGAGGTGGATAAAAAAAAAATCCACATGTTTTGATGTTCCTGATAGCACGCAATAAGGTACTATATATTATTTATAATTTGTAATCAATCGACCACATTTACGCGCTTAATCATGAATACATACGCACACAAGCATATGCACGTTGTTCCATTTTATTCTCGCAATTAATGTGGGGTAGTTTTTGAAATTTCGTATTGTCCTTCGCACTCCTTTTCTGGTAAACATCGCCTTACTTTGCGACTTGTTTAGCCCTCTCAGTAAGCAGCAGCCGCCTTCCGCTTGGCGTATTTTGGCCCCTCAATGAGCGCTAGCTAGATTAACGGTGCTATTGATGCTAAAACGAACGAAGTCTACATAGCCGAGCCGAACTCACATTAGTGTATTTCTGCGTGTGTCTGTACTTTCGCTCGGCTATAATCCTCCTTCCACCAGATATCCTGCCGCAATTATGAAAGTAACTAAGTACGAAAATAGCAAGTGCCACCTCGTCAGCGCTTACAGACCCAAGCGAACAAAGTGAGAGCAGATCTAACGACGAGAGCGACAACAGTCAGTGGCAAACAGTAAATCACATAGCAAACGAGTTCAACGAAAAAAGATGTGGTCGCAAGGATTCTCACAGCATCGCTAGGGCGCCTGCGACAGGATGAAATTTAGTAACAGAAAACTATCGCTGTGAAGTAGATCTAGCGGATGCAGCTAATGAAATTTTTTTTTGATATTTGTGTTAATCTGCAAAATAATCAATAATTGAAAAGGAGAACAATATACCGTTGCCGAGGAAACACAGCTGAGGAAGAAAAAATGACACAACCGGCTGGACCAATGGCGCATACTTTTGAAAATGATAACAGTAAGCAGGCGAAAGTGATTTTGCAATACGTTTTTCATCTTATAGTACATATTTGTATACACATATGCAAATATATATGTACATATGTGAGGCAACTTGTTTTCATGTCATCGATTTAGTGCATCAATTTGTCGGTATCCTTGCAATTTTTTGTTGTTATCCTTAAATGTTACCCGATTTCATTCGCTAAATCGCTAGCTAGTGAAGTGTGTGCTTTTTATAATTTTGTAAGCGAAAATATGTATCCTGCAATTCGTGCATACCCAGTCGGAAAAGTAGTAATGCATTACATGCGTGATAAATAATATAATGTATTTCTGATGAGTTCTAGATTAAAGTACTGCTGACTATGTAATCAGCATTCTAATGTATTCAAAAAGTTTATAAATTTCATATTAAAACACATTCATTTCTCGTGACTAGGTAATGCAAAATTGAATGACCCACTTTTCTGAGGACATCGACCTCGGGAAGAAATGCATTTTTGAATGTGAAAATGTTTGTTTTACTGATTATTTTTTCGTATACTATACATTACATTTTTCCACTGGGTACATAAACATTAACATAGATGTACCTTCTGCGTACAAAATTCTTGTGCTGTTAGTCGGATGTTCAAAAGCCTTTTTATCTTCAGAATAGTTTGCAAGGATGGAAGGGTCTACTTTGCGATGCGTGTGTATGAGTTTTTATTTTCGCTAGATTTTATTATCGTTTTGTTTCTTCCCTTGTTCATATTTTGGATTTTACCCCTGCGCTTACGTTTCCATTTATCAGTTGTGCTGAAAAAATATCTTAGTATATTTAGAGTTGATAGGGCTGATGCTGTGAGCGCAAGGACTTTTGCTAAACGGTGTCATGTGGAGAGTGTATGTATGTACATATGTATGTATGTACATTTTTGTGGTGAATAGACAGTGAAAATGTTTTCACCACTGTAGTGCTACGTTGACTTTGCATACATATCTACATTTGTATGTTTGTATGTGCATAAATACATACATACACTTGTATATATGTACATATGTATGTAGGTGTCTTATTAGATTTGTTAGTAAAACGTGTTGTGACTTTCACTCGGCACTCTTATATGCAAATTTTCCTTATAGGCGTTGTAATGTATATAATACTCAAAAGTACACTTTACTTGACTTTCATAGGTAAACCCATTTTTTATCTCAGCAATAAGCAGCTATTTTTTATCTGCTAACTAAGCGGTAATAAATTTTTTTTTTAAACAATGAAATCTAGAAATGAATGAAAATTATATTAAAAAAGACAAAACAATAAAATTAAAAATATTAAAGAAAACATGGTCTTTTTTTTCTTCAAACATCTAAAAATTATCATAGCCTCAGGAAATGATATTTCATTACTATACCGAAGACCGAAAAGTTAAAGAAAAATATGCAAGTGTTTTTTTTAGTAATTTATTGATCCGCCTCTATAGCAATGTCAAGTAAAGAATATGGCACAGAACAAGTTTTATTACGAATATTACTACTATTGTAGGGGTTAGAGAACTGCGACCTTAAGTTATATTGGATTCATAGTGTGTCTATTAAATCAGTTTCCGGGAGAAATTTTAGAACTGGTTACCAACTGTGGTGCAGCGGTGGTGCGCCCTACCATTCCGTAAGGCTCGGGTTCAAGCTCGGTTCAACCCAACATCAAAAAATTAAAAGGTTGTTTTCTAATTGCGGCTGCCCTTCGGCAGGCAATGACAAACATCCGAGTGTATTTCTGCTATGAAAAACAAATTCCCTCCTTTGTGGGAAAACATCAAGGCGTACGCCAGAAATCGGGAGAGGACATATTTTGTAAGCGCAAATCTATTATTCTTATCGTAGAAGTCGTTATAGTATCCTTTGGTACAACAATGCAACCGCTGTCCGTCAGCATACTATTTCTTTTAGGCTCCAGCTTAAATTTTCTTTCGTTGTTTCTTCTATACTTAAGCTTACCAAATATTCCCACTAATTTGTTACTCATCTTCCAGATTACTACCAGATCAGCGATGAAGATCTTGAAGACTGCGACGATCTTAACGATGACTCTCTACTTGGGGAGGTAGTTGAAGGTACCAATGGCCAAACAATAACACTGAGTGGGCGCGGCCCCTACGAACGTGCTTGGACCACGGACGCTACACGCGCGCTCATACACATACGCGGTCCCATGCAGGGCATGTTCACCGAGGGCCGTCAAAAACGGACTGCACTTTGGCTACACTGCACACGACAACTGCAAAAGTTAGGCTTTCGCTACAGCGCAGCAAAAGTACAAAAGAAATGGCACAATATACTCATTACCTACAGCAAAAACTTACCTAAGAAGATTACAAGTGGATATGTGCATTGGGAATTCTTCGAAGAGATGCACAAGTACTTGAAGGACAAAAAAGTGGATATGTACGATTTCCAATACAAATCGACATCTTATCACAAATCGCCCGTGGAGCAACAGCAGCAGCAGCAACAGCAACAGCAGCCGCAGCCCTTGCCGATTAGTTTTCAACAAACGCTGGAAGTCAAACCACAGACGCCTTCCCTACAACCTGAAGTTACAACTCAATATGGCGTAGGGAATAAATTAGAGCTATTGGCCAACACGGCCGAAACAAACTTGGATAAATCGAATGATGAGTTCGACGAGGATTCGATAGTTATGTCTGAGCTCAAGCGGCCCAAGTTGGAGTTTAGCCCTGCTGAGCTGCCGCTGGAGATAACCCATGCCAATGGCTATGAACACAGTGGCAAATGCGATAACGGCGAGTTCCCGTCGATGTGCACTGGGACGCAGGACGATGAGCCATGGTGGAAGGACTACTTTGAACGGAAGCTGGAGGTGGAGCGTGAGAAAATTCAGTGCCAGAAGGCACTGCACCGCGAGCAAATGCAATTCCATAAGATGTCGCTACTGCAGCAGGAGAAGATCGAACGTCTGAAAATTGATGCGATCAACAGCTTGACGGGGACGCTGCAGAAACTGGTGGAGGCGAAAAACCGAAAGGTGTAGATGATATGGGTTTCTAAATATGAACAGTTTAATGTGGATATGAATTTTAATTTTATTTAATGTAAATACGTAATTATTCTTTAAGACATCAAAGCTTAACTACTGGAATGGAAATGTTACATTAGTATTTTTTCTTTGCTAGTATTAAGACAATAAATATATATGTATGTACATATTTATGGCCTTATTCATAAAAAATAAATTAGCCTTATAAAAGGTTTATAAATTGAAAAATGTATGAAAACGTCAATTTATAAAGCTCTTTAAACCTACTTCATTTTTTATGAATAAGGCCATTAGATTCTAAAAATGTACTGAAATACTTTTTCTTACAACTGCCAATCGATTTCCAACACTGTTGCTATTGAAGCCGTTTTACTCTCCAACTCCTCGGTGCCATAGTTAAATATCCACAAATCTGTGGAGAAGATCAAACATTCACCAGCACTCAAGCGTATATTCACCACCGGGCAAGGGCCTTGACACGGCTGCTTCGGTCGCAGGCGTATATCGAAATAACCATAAAGTTGTTGTACGAATACTAAGCCTTGTAAGTAAATTTCGCGTAGCTGTTCGCTCGCATAATTCTGTGACATCAGCACCCAACTGGAGTAGAATGGTTCTAGATGCAGTGGATAGTAATAGGGACGTGTGACAAAGCGTCGGGACGCTTTGACTGCGCGCCTCTCACAGTTTCGCAAATGCAGGAACCATTTGGCGCTGGGCGTGGTGCTCTTGATCTTCTGCAAAGCCAATTCTAAATTGAAAAGCTTTATGAGCATTAAGTTGGTTGACACATCACAAGGATTGCTTTCGAGAAAATCCAAAGGTGCGCTGTACATTTCGTCGAGAAACATGTTGAGCGAGCGTGGCCGATGCGAGTCGGTGACAATAACTGGCAAGCCGCGTTCCAAGTAAACTGATTCGAGGAATGAGAAAGTTGTATTCGATGTTGCGGGAATGCGTTCTGAAATAGAAAAAAAATTACTTAAATTACTTAAGTTGATAAGTTTAATTCACATGGCTCCATATTTTTAGGCACACCTGTTACACATACATATGTATGTACTTATAGAGAAATCAGCGCATTAAAGTGTACTTTCGAAAATAATGCCTTTTAGGTACTAATTTCTTCATGAGAAATTTGAAGCTCATTTAATTTGTGTATGAAAAGTTACTAAAAATTTCCGTGGAAAAGTAATCGCACCTTTTTGTCATCACACTGGAAGACTAAAAATCTGTAACTCGAGAAAACTGCACTGCTAAAATCAGAATTTTGTAATACTTTGACTTCGGAAAACAAGTCTGAGCGATATTAAAAAATTCTGCAAAGCTTTCCAAACCAATAAAAATCACCTCATGCAAATTTCCTTGCAAGGAACCGTCCTTGCTTTGTTTAACGCCTATATAAAAGCGAATTAAAGGCTGCATCTTTTTGGAACTACCTCTGAATGGAAAAAGAAGTATATTTTGGAAGCAACCAATCCCGACTGGGAACTTTTAGAATCTTCTATCGCGGAAGTTACTAATTCGATACATTTCTATGAAAGTAATCGCCGATGGTATCGTTTTCTTCGAGTTCATATCCGCTGTCAAGAAGAACTCTTCCACCAATACGAAAGCGATACTGCGATTAGGAATTAATTCGATAAGAATGAAAGTAACTAATTTGTGCGATAGCGTCAGACGATTTAAAGAAGATTCTGTGTAGAGGTAAATAAGTGTTTGATTTAGGGTTGCCAGATTTTTTTTTTGCGCGAAAGCAGTACCTTAAACATAAAATATTTAAAAACGGCAGAGTACATGTTTTTTACAATATTTTGGTATACAATTAATAAAATGTAGTTCATAAAGCTTAGAATCCAGCGCTCGAATGGTAACACTCGTTCACGGATCGAAAACCATACGAAGGAAAATTACGTAATATGTCAGTCGTATAAGCTGAATGGTGTAAAAAGAACGTTCACGCACGTCGTAATTCGAAAAATGTCATTTTACGTGATGAGTAATACGATATCGTATGTGACGATTAGAGCCCTGCTCTGTTGCTTGGAAAAGCATTTTGTTTTTGCTGTAAATTTTCTGCAAAAAATAAATATACGAGCATTTTTTTTTGTGAGCTGCAAACTGATCTAAGAAATTTTGATATAACGAATTTTTCGTTTTTCTAAACAGCTGGCAACAGTTCTTAAAAAATAAAAATGTTATTCATTTTAACATAAATTTCCACATTCATATTTAGTATAAAATACCCTTATCATATCATTATACACTGGAGCCAATGAATTACACAGTGCTACAAAAAAGAAGAAAGGTATTTTTGAGTAAAACAAGAACCGAAATATGAAATTTGTCAAACACCCCCAAAATCTTCATTTTCCCTTTAAAACCCGGTTTTTCGTACTTTGGCGCACTTATAAGCCTGTAACTTAATTGATTGTGAACCGAGTTTCAGTTTATTACCGGATTTAAAAAGAAGAAACTTAGGCCTTTCGAATGATATACATATGTATATGTGAATAAAGAAACCTAAAGAGATCTGTATGTATTTACCCTGCAAACACATTTATTTTTTACTTTTTTCGCCTTTTTTCAATTTCGGTAAGGTTTTTACGCACAATTTTATAAGAAGACTATAATAGTCCTAAATTGGTTCTAAAACTAAATATAATAATGATGCAAGTTTTATGAGTTATTAAACTTTTTATAAAACAAAATTTTTGCAAAGATATTATTTTTGGCTATACAACTCAAAAATATTTGCTTGATCGTTGTTTTCATAATTTAGCATCATCAGTTTCTAATTGTAGTGACCAGCAATATTCTGATTTCAATTTTATTTTATTTTATCCTTCGAAACGTTTTTTAAATGTAGCTATTTCTTGGTGAAAGTGTTAGCCTTGTTCATCACTGAACTGGCCCAAATTATGTGGGAAGCAGTGCAAATGCGAATGAAGGAAATGCATTTTTATGGACATGTTTTTATTTTAATATGAAGTTTTTTATGGGTCGCATAGTATGGCCATCCCGACAGCCGCATCAAATAGGCTGGAAAGCGCTTTAAATGTCCAATTGGTTAAAGTTGAAAATGTTGTCCTACCACCACTGCATTTAAAGCTAGGATATATGAAACTATAGGGGTACTCTCGCAGCCTTGCAAAGCCCTTGCACGGTGCATTGAGAGTAACAGTAGCCACAATTGACTTGAAACAATTGAAAAATTAGTATACGATTTTATAATGCAAGTACAAGGTGGCCACTGTTTACCTTCAATCTTCAAGCAGATGACAGAATAGCATCATCGTCGAATTTTCTAATTCTTTCAGAGACGTTGGTGGATAATGAGAAAGCTTTAGATATTCGTAATTTTGATATGGTCCAATATAAGTCCAGTGACGAGAGTGGCGGAGCTGTAATCCACCGTAACACACATGACGAAGTTCGTATAGTTCTCTACAAATAGAACTCAATGCACAAAAACTGGAATCAATGTCTGTTCAAATTTGCTTGTGAAAGCAGGATGAACCATGAGAGAACAGTTATATTTGTGGTAATTTATATTTCACCCAATCAACCAGTAAATAAAATTGTTAAATTAATTCACGAGAGCTTAATAAAAATACACACCAGAAGTACAGCGGACCCTTAAAAAAGACTCCAGGAAATTTCCTATGATTTTATGAAGGTTTCACTTCTATCGGGTGTGCACTGCACGCGTTTGTTTTTTTTTTTTAATCACGTTCTTAATATACGAATACATTTCGAACCAATGTTGGCAAAGGGGTGGCGGAAATTTATTTTAAAATACTCTATCACACTTCGAATGGTTACTCACCAAGCATCTCACAAAGTACGCAATTTTCAGCTTCAGTCTCATAACGGCCCAAGGCTTTCATTGTTGAAGTTGCACTCTGCGCACCGTTTTTATCTACCGCCCGTTCAATTAGACACCGGCTACTATATAGAGGCGTCCAATTCCAGTAGGGCAACAGCTGTAGCAACACCAAACGTCCAATGGCGCTAACAAACCAACTAAATTCTTCGGACCAGTTATAGAGTAAATAAAAGGCCGCCATCATAGCCAACAAGACGCCCAGTAACACGTAACATCTGTTGTTGCGACGATGCAACAGCGGCGGGCATATGGCACGCATTTCTTTGGAGGTAAATCCTTGCTGCTTACATTCGACGAAGAAGTCAGCGAATTCCTGCTCCAATTGCTCCATGCTGACGCGTCTGCACGCGAACACTATGCTGCCACAAGTAAACGTTGAGCGCCACAAGTGGTTTTCGCTACTGAATAACATGCAACGCAGCATTGCTGCCATGGACTGCCACCGCACATGCGCTTTGCGCACATGACTGGCTGCTGGCGCATTTGGCGATAAGCGAGTTAAGGATTTTAAATTGAATTTAACACTTCATTGCATGCGAAATTGAAATTGAAAGCGAAGTGCCGCTTTGAGTTAAGGAGGACAGGGGCGAAAATAATAAGAATTGGAATAAATAAATTAAAGTGGAAATTATAAAAAAGCCAAAGGGAGACCAGAAAGCTTATGCGAGTATGTACATTAGGGTGGTCCAAAATAAGTAAAGTCAGAATTTTAGTGCTCTCACCCCCTAGGAATGTTATATATCGAAAAATTATAAACTTATATATTTTTTTTTAAATCAAAAAAATGTGGAAATGGTATGGAATTCTTGAAAATCAATATTTTTCGATCGGAAAACTCTGGTTTTCTCCAGGAGACTTCCAATAACAATACCCAATTGTTTATTTAACCATTTTTAATACTAACGATTTTTTATTTATCCCCCTCATTGTACTTTCTAGGGGCTTTAGCGGGCTTATAAAATTTAGTTGCTATGAAAAAGTGGTTAAACAAATAATTGGGATTATTATTGGGAATATCCTGAAGAGAAACAGAGTTTTCCGGTCGAAAATTGAAAATTTTGAGCACTTTGAGCGATCTCTGAATATTTTTTGATTTCAAAGCAAAAAAATACTAGGGATTGAGAGCAAAAAAATTTCGACTTTACTTTTTCACATGCATTTTTGGACTACACTAATGCACATACATTAGAGCACCCACAAATGCAACAGTGTTAAATTATTTCGTTCCCTTCTCATTTTCTGATAGCTTTGCGATAAAAAATAAAATCCGTAAAAAAAATGTGGACATCTGTAGTGGAAAGAGCCCCGCGATTTGAACTTAAAGTCCAAAAATTTACAAAAAAAATATGCATAACTTTAAAGACCAATAGCTCTTAAATGTTTAAGCGAAAATAAATGAACATAAAATATAAATAAAAATATAAATATAAATAAATAAATAAAAATATAAAAAAAATTTATGTAAAAGGAAACCGGGAATATTTCTCTCATATAAAGACCTACAAATGGTCATTCTTGGGATATTATGTGGGCAAAGTAAAATTTTTCAAAACCGACTTTCTAACGGCCAAAATAAATATTTCAAAAATACTTAAGCTGGTCCGGACTCCAGGATAGATGTCATCGCCGAGCCCCTTAAATTGAAATTTTTTTTTTTTAGTAAATCTTATTTATTTAACTACTCAGGTATACATTAGACAAAACTTACTTATAGTATTTCGGTACCTTGATATATAAAGGCCCTATCTCATTTTCTTTGAAAATCTTGCTTTGTACAAAACTCGGTAAATTGCTCACTAAAAACCTAATTTTAAAACAACTAATGCGGCATTTTACTAATTACAGTCAGCAATAAAAAAACAGCGTTTTCAAGAAATTCGCAACATAATAATAGGAAATTGCGCTAATTTCTTGTAATCACTTTGCAACAAAAATTTAGGTAGGGCCTTTCGATATTAAGATAACGATAGTTTCGTTCGTAAACTTTTATTGAAAAAGCTGGTAAATAGGAATGAATCGATACAAGTTAATTCAAATACATACTCGATACTTTTCTCAATTTACCAAGTTTTTTAGGACTCGATACTTCCTACTGCGATCGAAGTAGGTATCGGAAAGGAGTACTGGTATCGGAAGTGCAAAACTTATTATGCTTCATTATCTTCTTTGAAAAGCAACCCATTAGAGGTATGGTATGCGCACTACATTTCCGTAGCTATATAAGCAAGCCCGTCTATACATAAGGGTTGTTGGTTCATCTGCCCGTTGCGAGAGGCTTTTCTCTAAAACCGGCACAACTATATTAAAATCTCGAAACCGCCTTTCAGGAAAATACTTGGATAAGTTGATGTTTTTGATAAATATATTCAAAAAGGAGCTCTTTTTTTAAACTTATTTTACACTAGCAGACCCGGCGTACTTCGTCCCGCCCAAAATTAATTTTAAACATTTGGTCCAACGTTTCCACCAACCATTCCATAGCCATCTTAAATTTACCTAATGAAAGAGTTATGTCCGTGAAGAAGTTCTTGTGGCAACAATGATCTGGTTCGATGGTGAATCGCCCTTCAATCTGTATGGTACAGTTGGTGGCAATTTCAAAAGGAGAGTGGTTGATGTAACGGTGGTAATTTAACATTGATCCTTGGTGTCTCCGAGTGACTCCACTTGACGATTTTTACCAATAACTCGACTCTAGCGCCATCTTGCATATCTCGATAATGAGCCAAATCGGATAATAAATACGATTTTTTAGTAATAACTCGACTCCAGCGCCACATAGCATTTCAAGTTGTGAACCTAAAGTATACCCGCTCAAACACATAGAAAAATCATTAAAATCGTTTCGGGCATTAAGGAGGGGTTCACTCACAAACACGTACCGAATAAGTTTATGTATGTATATCGTAATTCACAAAGGCCCTAGCAAACGAATTATTATTTCACAGAAGAAGCAAAAAACATTATAAAAGGAGTATGAAAAACAAGTAGCATTTGGCATGTAGCTCCGTTGTTTTTGGTACTAATACTTAAACATTTTTATTGAAGGTGTATTTTAATACCATCCTACCACAATCTGTGAAAAACGAAGTTCCGAAAAAAGTGTTCGTTAGGGCACCTGTGAATTAAGGTAAAGCTATGTATTTACAGATAGGTAAAAGTTTTAGTGTGTTTTGAAGGCGCCACGCCCCGTTTTCCAATAACTCCTACTTTTCTCCATGAGTATGGGATTGATTTCGAATACCTCGGTATCTGATCCACCTATCAAAAAAATGTATCTTATATGTTAATCCAGGAAATAAGCTACCTACTTGGCAATTTTCAAACGAATCGCATCATAAATACGATTTTTTTCGAATAGATCGGTCTCTGGTCCACTTCCCGGAAAAATGGGACTACATATTTATGCTAGGCAAGAAGCTACCTACGTACCACATTTTAAGCAAATTGACCATAAATTCGATTTAAAATTGCTCTCCGAGAATAAATAAGTATGGGAACACTTGAAAAACTTAAAATTCTATAAAAAACATGTTTTGCCCATGTGAGCAAATTTCACCAGTTGTTACATTTTTCGGCAAAAAACATGTTTTCGCATAAAGAATAAGATACCATCGCGAAATTGTATTTAAATTAAAAACTAAAAATGATATGCTAAACAAGTAATTTTTAAGCAAAAAACAAAACTGACTTCGATTCTCATTTAAAAATTTAGGAGTACCGTTAATTTTTTCATGATCCAATGATCGAATCTAAACCAGATTAGTATGGGACCACCTCTGAGATACTACCTTTCCAATCGAAATCGGTTGACGTGGTCCAAAGTTATGCGGTAACATACATACAAAAACAAAAAAAAACAAAAAATCCGACGAATTGATAACCTACTCCTAAATATAAAAACTCGGGCCCATATACCTGTAGTTGTGTATGTAACGTATACGCTAGGGAGATACAAAATAATTAACCTAGCCAATTTATGGCCTTAAAAGGACAGAAACTCTCCCATTTGGAAACATTTTTATTCCAATTTCAAAAGGTGTCGGTGGGTATTTGAAATATTCCATGTAAATAACATGTACAAATATTTGTTTTCATTAAAAATGTTATAACTATTGAACCGTTTCTTGTCATTATTATTGATTATCTAGATTCTAGACTCAAAAATGAATATACTTACCGGCTGTGAAAGGGGAAAAAAGCAAAAAATTTGAATTTTTTGGGCTTTATGATTGTAAATGTTCATGGTAAATGAAAACCTTATACCAAAATTATACAAAATGTGTAAAAAAAATTTGATTGGAAACTAGATTTGTCAGAGATGAGAGAGAGTTTTAATCGATTTACTTATTTTTATTGCATTTTTAAATATTAATATTCTTTTTATGTTATTAATAAAATTAAGTTTATTGCAATTAGGATATTACTGGCGATGTAATTACACTACATACTTGCAAAAGAAATAGCTTTTGTTCTTCGTCTTTTGTCAAAGTTCGATTAAGTACAATTTTGTATCAACCCTATACCTCGCTCAGCAATATCATTAACATATTTAATACTCTTAATCATTTCTAAGACAACCAACTTTACCTAAATTCATTTTTTATAGAATATGCCTAGAAAAAAAATTGCTGTTGGTTGGTGCTAAAAAATCGAAATAATGCGCATATAATGTGCACTAAAAAATCATAAATATGTACTAAAAACTGAAAAATAAGCGAATAGGACTCCACGCATTTGTTTTGCTTTTTTTAATTTTTGATCTACTTTTCATATTTTATTACAAGTTTATAATCAACACAAGCATATATTGTAATTTTTAGTACCACGAAAAACTTAAAATTAATTAAATATATCGCTCACTTAGAGTGAAAAGTTGCTAAGTCCATTTTTTATGAAAACTCACATTTTGATGCAGGAGGCTAGAGAAATTTAAAATTCATTGCTTTCAAAATTATTAAGGATTAAGGTACTGGTTTTGTTTATTCTCGTTTATATTCAATGAAAGGAAAATGTGTTAAGCCCAAAAGAAGCACCGAAAATCCGATAAGGCCAAATTAGTACGAAATATATATGTATGTATAAAAAAAAAAATTAAGCACTTAAAGTAAAAAGTAAAAAATTCATTTGCAATAAATTAAAAAAAACACATGAGTAGTCCACTTGCAAACAGCGTTATGTGATTTTATAATAGAAAGCCACAAATTTGAAAAAAACGACTACGACAACAAGTAACATTTAAATGGAATCTTTTTTATTATTACCTGAAAATTTGAATAAGTAAGAGTATCTAAAATTATAACATAACATAATATGACATAAGATAACATTAACAGTCTGTACGACCTAAAGCAGTTTTCTAAATTCATCAGAAGATGGGTACTTTTGAAAGTTTATAAATAAGTATGATAGCGATTTTGGGAAGAAGAGTTGACATTTGACACTTTTTTATCAGAATATAAAAAGATTTTGCACTGTGTTGTTAGTGGACATGCAACTACTTTAAATACTGGTACGTAATCCTCCAAAATCTAAAAATCGAAGAAATTTTACATATCGCACTTTGCAAGTGGGCTACTCATATATTCATATTTAATTTCCATATAATTATTTTTATTTGCTTTGTTCAGGTATTATTGGTTCTTTGAAATTTTCTAAGTTAAAGCTTTCCCTATTTGGCCGCAAAAATGTTTTATATAAGGAGAACATTCTTTCTACGTCAACACTGGTGATTGGGGCGTACTTAAAGCAAGCTAGTTCATTGGGATTATAGCTATTAAGCAGGGATCACATGAGTGGTGTTGTTTAGAAATTTGAGTTCAGCTCAATAAAAGAATTTCCAGCCAATACCACTCTGTAACTGCCAAAATGTACAAATCTGTACAAATCTCCAAGCCATGTGATCCCTGCTTAAAAGCTGCCACTTGCGGCCATTTGTCTACTTAGCACACCAGATATTCCCTTAAGTTCCTTAAACCCGTTATTTTTTTGTAGAAAGGTATCCAATTTTTCCTTGATTTTTTTCCCAAGTTTACCGTGCACACCTTGAATAGTAGTAACAGCAGTCTCTACAAGATGTACTTGTTCAGCCAATGCTTGTTTTTCCTTCCAATTTGCTTATTATTTTAATATACACAGATCCTTAGCATTGCGTAACAAATTTTCGAAAAGCATTGCATTCCTCACTATCATTCCATGCAGATGTTGGACAATTTTGGAATGTCTCAAAGTTAATGCAAGTCATTATCATAGCACCGAAAGGCGAGCAGGACTGGAATTTAGGCTTAGTTATTCTCTGAGCAAACTCTGGATCTTTCTTCATTTTATCGGCAATTTTAGCTTTTGCATCAGTGGATTTTTCAAAGCAAGTATCGTAGGATTCCTCCATAACTGCGATCATTTCCTCATCGTCCTTTACTGCAGTCTTTAGGAGTTCCATAAAATTATCCCCCTGGAGCTCACCGTCCTCGCCAATGACTTCGGTTTTATTGAAAATGCATTCCATGAGGCACTGAGTATAAAAGTAAAAATAAAAGAATTGTTTAAAATTAT